TATATTATATTTTTATATAATTTTTTTGTATTATTAAATAAATAAATTTAATATTATAAATTTTAAATAAATAAAAAAATTAATAACTTAAATAATATGTAAAATTATACAAAAAATAATACAAAAATATTATAAAAAAATTAACCCAAATCATTTTTCATAGCATAAAAAGTACATTGCTTGCTGCACTTTTGTTGAGTAATTTGCAGCCTCCATTTGCATTTCATTTGCATCTCAACTTCCTTCGTTGTCTCCCATGATATAGCAGGTTGCCGTACGCAGCAAATACAGGTCTGATGCTATTGCTCAAACACACTGAGAGTCGCATGGTATAAAAATAGTTTTTTTATATTATTTTTTTATATAATTTTTATATATTATTAAATAAATAAATATATTTAATATGATCGATCTTAAATAAATAAATAGAGCTTATAATTTTAATGCATTTATTGATGCATTCTGCAAAGAAGGAATGATGGAAGAAGCAAATAAATTGGTAGATTTTATGACTCGGCATGGTCAGCATCCTGACACTAACTTATAACACATTGATTGATTCGCTTTGCAAACAAGGAAGGATTGAAGAAGTAAGTAAATTGGTAGATTTGATGATTCAGCAAGGTCAGCATCCTGACACAGTAACTTATACTATATTGGTTGATGCACCCTGCAAAGAAGGAAGGGTTAAAGGAGCAATTAAATTGGTAGATTTTATGATTCAGCAAGGTCTGCATCCTGACACAGTAACTTTTACCACATTGGTAGATGTGCTTTGCAATGAAGGAATGATTGAAGGAGCAATTAGATTGGTAGATTTGATGATTCAGCAGGGTCAGCATCCTGACACAGTAACTAATACCACATTGATTCATGCTCGTTGCAAAGTAAGAAGGATGGAAGATGCAAAGGCATTGTTTGCGTTGATGATTCAGAGTGGTCAACATCCTAACAAAATTACTTATAATATCATGATCAAAGGGCTTTGCAAAATTGGGCAACTGGAGAAGGCAAATGATTTCTTAAGCAAAATGGAGAAGAATGGTTGTCCTCCTGATGTTATGACATTTAATACACTCATTTTATGTTGCTCCAAAAACAGCGAGACCTCCAAAGCTGTGGAGCTTCTTTGCATAATGGCAGAGAAAAATCTATCCCCTAATGCAACAACCTTTTCCATTGTCATAAGTCTGCCCTCAAACTTAAAGGATGAAAAGCGTCAAGAACTTCTGGACTTGCTTCCAACATTTCCTGCCCAAGCTCATTGAGGTAGATTACAAACTGAATAAGTAACTGCATTGAATTTTGGATGCACAAAATCAGTCATTGAGATCATGAAGAATTTTGGGAGAGGTTACTTTGTCTGGTATTCCCAGTATAAACCAAATGTAGTTATTTCTTTGGCAGAAAATTAGAGCACGATCTGTTTTTTGTACGAGGCTATGATGCAGAGTGATGATGTTAGTTTGCGTGGGAAGAAATATTGAATGCTTGACGTTGCAACCTGTTGGAATTAGGCCCAACGCCCACTTCGGGCTACATATAACAGGCCCAACTATGCATACAAAGGCCCAAGAGGAGGAGACATGCCCACGTGAACAACACCACATGGGCCAATGAATTACTTACATGTATTGATGCATGTCAGCATTTGAGGCTATAAATACCCCCCAACCACCAACAATGAAGGTAATTAATCTCTATGCTTCTCTATTTGCAATTACTCCTTGAGAGCCTCTCTCTCTATAATATCGAGTATTGCTGACTTGAGCGTCGGAGTGTTTTCCCCGAGGAACAACCTCGGGATTTACAGGTGTAGAAGCAGCCGAGGACTTCAACAGTGTTGGACTGTGAAGCTGCCCAAACATTTGGCGCCGTCTGTGGGAACTTTGAACAAGAAGTTGTGTAGCTTAACCTGCTGAAAGACAAAATGGTTCGTACTTTTACAGGAGGTCGCCCCCCAAGAAATGAAATGGACGAACAGGAGGACGCCTAAGTTTTTGAGCCCGCCTTGAATGACTTTAGGCCAATGCCAAGAAACCTTTTCATCGGGGGAGCAGAACAGGATCACCTAAGTGAAACGGATGATGAAAGAACGCCAACTGGGTATGCAACCCATCCTGAACAGTTCCAAGTTCCAACAGGAACAAGACAAAGACATTCTAGACCATACAATTCACAGCATGAACAACCTGAAAGGTCAACAGAGCCTGCTCGAACGACCGAGCTCGAAGAAAGAACCAGAGTTCTCGAAATGGCAATGGGTAAAATCCTTGCCCGTCTGATTCCTGATGACCCCCTGATTCCTTTGTTGAACAGGGATGCACAACCAGCTGCGGTTGTTGCAACTCGAAACTCCCCCGCTCTAAGCAACATAGTAGTGCCGACCAGGCCAAGAGGAAGTGGGAAGCTAAATAATGAGCCCAGCTCGTCCAAGCATAGTGAAGAACTGTTGAGGAAGAACGCAGACCTTGAAAGGCAGCTACGGGACGTACAAAAGTCTATAGACGAGCTGAAAAGTCCCAGGTCGCATCAGCAAACTCTTGATTTGGATAGCGCCCCATTGAACCTATCCATCACAGTAGAACCGTATCAAGAGGGGTTCAAAATTCCCCATCTAGAGACGTATGATGGCTCGGGTGACCCAGACGAGCACCTGCATACCTATCAGGCCATCATGAGGATCCAAAATGCTAATGATGCCATGATGTGCAAGGTGTTCCCAGCGACACTGAAGTCAACGGCCAAGAGATGGTATCATAAACTCCCTAGACACTCTATAGACTCGTACTCCCAGCTTGCTAAGCTATTCTCCAACAAATTTGCGAGCCAAAGGGAGATTAAACGTACAGCGACCGAACTAATGTAGGTTCATCAGAAAGAGGGAGAATCTTTGAGGGACTACATGCAACAATTCAACAAAGCTACTTTGGACATTGATAACGTCCCCGATACCATTTGCTTATCTGCCTTGTTGCATGGTTTGAAGCCTGGTCGGTTTCTGGACAACCTGCTGGAGAATCCACCCAAGTCGTGGAATGAAGTAAATGACAGGTCGGCAAGCTTCATATTATTCGAAGATTTTCAATCTTCTAAGAGACGAGCTGATGATAGGCAAGGAAAAGAGCCCAAGCAGCCTGAAAACAGAGATGACAAGAAGAAACAGAAGGTTGGCGAGCAGAGAGGGAAACCACCTTCCTATCCAAAATATGACAGCTACATCCCCCTGAGCTCATCATGATCCCAGATATTGGCGCAGATACAGCATTGGGTCAAGAGACCCCCTCCGCAAACACATGATTCTTCACGAGCTGACAGAAGCAAATACTACGACTATCACCGTGTCTACGGCCATAACACAGAAGGCTGTCAGAGTCTGAAGGACGAGCTCAAATTCTTGGCTCGCAATGGAAAATTGGAGGGGTATGTGCAGAAGCCTTTTGTTCGGCAACCCACCCAGACCCACTTTGTACAAGAGTATGGCCGATCTCAAGCACCTGGATATCAGCTCGGTAGTAATCCAAATTATTACCAGGCAGGTCTGTACTCATCTGAGCCGAACAGAGCATACAGGGGACGCCCGTTCAATAGGCGTGGGCAAGGACACAAAGCACCTACACAGAATCAAAAGGACCACAGAGGGGTTGGGTATGGTGGAATACCCCGCCATCTGGCATAATCAATATGATCTTTAGTGGTATGCACTCAGGGGGCCAGAGTGCCCGGGCCCGCAAGGCATATGCCCGCCAGGTGATGACAGTCAACAAAAACAGGCCCTTGAAGCGGCCGTTCGAGGAGGCAGAGTGGGAGAATGCAGCTATCACATTCAGCCCGGCAGATTATAAGCGAGCAGACGGAGAACCCGACGTTATGATGCCTCACGCAGATCCATTTGTGGCAACGGTCCATATAGGTAATCATAACATCAACAAGGTCTTTATTGATACGGGTAGCTCGCTAGATATCCTTTATTGGAGTTGCTTCCAGAAGATGCAGTTGAACCTGAGCTCGCTGCAAAAATATGAAGGACCCATCTACGGGTTCGATAATCAGCCCATCCTGGTGGAAGGGGTCATAACTCTACCCATCTATGTGGGCTCAGAACCACGCTTCAGGATGGCTTCAGTCAGCTTCCTAGTCGTCAAAATGGAGTCAGCCTTCAACGCCATATTAGGAAGGGCTACTTTGTGCGAGCTGAAGGCTGTTATTTCATAGCCCCATCTCTGCATGAAATTCCCAACGCCTTAAGGGGTAGGGGTGCTAAAGGGGAATCAGAGGATGGCCAGGGCATGTTATCAGGATACGTTTAAGAAGGTTGAGCTCGCTGTAGCCCCTAGAGGCTTTAAAAGTAGTAGGCCGACTCAGCACGGCCAGCAGACAATGAGCATATCGGACATTGAGCATAAACCTGAGGGTGTCGAGCAGAAAGCAGAGCCGGTAGAACCAGTAGAAACTGTTCCTTTAAACCCTGATGTGCCGGAAAGAACAGTCAAGATCGGCACCAAGCTCACAGAAGAAGAACGAGCAGAGCTTCTGGAGTTTTTGAGGGTCAATCAAGATGTGTTTGCGTGGACTACTAATGAAATGCCTGGCATCCCAGCGGAGTTGACAGTCCACAAACTCAGCACGGACCCCACCAGAAGGCCGGTGGTGCAGAAACGTCGCCTTTTTGGCCCAGAGAAACAAGTTGCCATAGACGAAGAGATACAAAAGCTGCTACAGGCAGGCTTCATCAACCCCGTTCTCGTCAAAAAGCCAAATGGCAAGTGGAGGATGTGTATTGATTTCACCAACCTCAATGAGGCGTGTCCAAAAGACCCTCATCCCTTGCCAAATGTTGAGAAGTTAGTAGAGCGGGCAGCCGAACACGAACGGATGAGCTTTCTTGATGCCAGCTCAGGTTATCACCAGGTCCAACTGTTGTTAGACGACCAGGAGAAAACAGCTTTTTACGTTAGTGATGCAATCTACTGCTATGTGATGATGCCGTTTGGCTTGAAGAACGCTGGCGCTACATATCAAAAACTGGTGCAAATCATCTTTAAGCTCCAGATTGGCAGAAACATAGAGGTATATGTGGATGACATGATAGTCACCAGTGTATGAGCTGAAGACCACATAAGCGACCTGAGTGAGACCTTTCAAAACTTGCACCGAGCTCAGATGAAGCTAAATCCCTTGAAATGCACATTCGCTGTAGAATCAGGAAAATTCCTAGGGTACGTTGTATCCAAGAAAGGAATTGAAGTGAATCCAGAGAAGGTTCTGGCCGTTCAGCAGATGGAGCCTCCCAAGACTGTAAAGGACGCGCAGCGCCTGACAGGTTGTGTAGCCGTGTTGCATAGATTCATAGCCAGGTCGACGGAAAGGTGCCTACCGTTTTTCAAAGCCTTGCGAGAGCCCAAGCACTTTCAATGGACCGACAAGTGTCAGCGGGCATTTGACAAACTCAAGCAGTATCTGGCATCTGCACCCCTGCTGTCCAAGCCTGTGGAAGGGGAGAGTTTATACCTATACATGAGGGTTACAGGAGAGGCAGTGAGCTAAGTTCTGCTCAGGGAAGAGAATAAGAATCAGAAGCCTATCTGCTACGTGAGCAAGGTTTTACAAGGTGCAGAGCAGAACTACCCATTAGCAGAAAAGGCTGCCTTTGCCCTGGTTTACACAGCTCGTAAGTTGAGGGCTTACTTCCAATCACATCAGATTGTTGTATATACTGACTTGCCATTGAGAAAAATACTGCAGAAACTTGAACTCTCTGGTCGGCTTATTAGGTGGAGCGTCGAGCTGAGTGAATATGACCTCAAATTTCAGCCGTGCACAACCATAAAAGGCCAGGCCGTTGCGGACTTTCTGGTGGAGTGCATCTCAGCAACTAAGGAAGAAAAAGCACCCGAACACCCAGTCTGGGTTTTGTATGTTGATGGAGCAGCTAACATTGAAGGGTCGGGTGCTGGGGCTGTGTTAGTGGGCCCAGATGGCTTTAAGTCTGAGCACGCATTGAGGTTTAAGTTTCAGACGACTAATAACGTTGCAGAATATGAAGCCCTCATTTATGGATTGAAGCTGGCGTCCGAGCTGAAGGTACAAAGCATTCAGGTTTTCAGCGACTCTCAACTCGTTGTGGGCCAGGTGAATGGCAGTTGTGAAATCAGGGATCCCCAGCTCGGTCGTTATGCCTCTGTGGTCAACAGATTGAAGTAAATATTTGTCCTTTTCCAAATTGATAAAATACCAAGAGCAGATAACCACCGAGCTGACGAGTTGTCAAAGTTGGCCTCTTCGCAGGACATTAACCCTCAAAGATCAACAATTGTCGAGGTACTCGACACACCGAGCTACACTGATTTCACAGTCGAGTGTCAGCTGCTAAGTACAGATCCTTCTACACTGAGCTGGACGACCTCGCTCATAAATTATCTGCAAAGTGGTGAGCTACCTGAAGATCCGTCTGCTGCCAAGTTGATTAAACGTAGGGCGGCTCATTTTACTTTGATAGATAATCAACTCTACAAACGGGCAGCCTCTATGCCCCTATTACGCTGTCTCACTCCTTATGAAGCTGAATATGCTGTGAGAGAAGTCCATGAAGGAGTGTGTGGCACACACATTGGAGGCAAAACCTTAGCTCGGAAGCTCTTGAGGCATGGGTATTACTGGCGGACTATGGTTGAGGATGCACAAAATTATGTCAAAAATGCTCGACCTGCCAGTTCAATGCTGATGATATTCACATGCCAGGTATCTGAGCTCGTTCTGAAGTTCGTGCAAACTCCATGTTTGTCTGTTAACTGAGCATAAAATTCTACGTTGAAACAGGAGAAACGCTCTTACCTCTCTCATCTCCTTGGCCTTTTGCTCAATGGGGAGTCGACCTGCTCGGCCCTTTTGTGAAAGGCAAAGGAGGTTGTACTTACCTCGTTGTTGTGGTGGATTATTTCACCAAATGGATAGAAGCTAAGCCGTTGTCCACAACAACAAAGAAGAAAATAGAAGAATTCTTCTTTAGCTCAATATTATGCAGGTATTCTTCGGTGACTTAAGTCATTCACACATTATATATAAGTACAATTTGCGGCTCAGCTCGGCCATCTGTTTTCAGGTTTGGCATACCCAAATGGATCATTGCTGATAACGGTCCGCAGTTCCGAGCCGCTGCACTGAGGTCGTTCTGCAACAACTATGGCATTGAGCTCTCCTTGACGTCTGTGTATACTCCACAGTCAAACGGACAGGCCGAGTCTGCCAATAAGATCGTCTTACGAGGCCTCAAGACGCGTGTTTTAGCCGCGCGTTCTAATTGGGTTGACGAGCTCAATAAAGTGCTTTGGTCATGTTGCACTACACCCAGCTCGGCTACAGGCGAAACCCCATTCAGCTTGGCTTATGGAGCTGAGGCCGTCATCCCAATAGAAATCGGGTTGCCATCTGAAAGAGTAGGTCGGCACAACGATCCTAACGATGAGCAGCTACTGAGAGAGAACCTAGATCTAGTGGAGGAAGTCAGGGAAATGTCTCGAATAAGAAACATGGCACACCAGAGTCGTGTTGCAAAATTTTATAATAAGAGAGTTCGAGCTCGCCAGTTTCAGGTCGGCGACCTGGTTCTACGCAAAGCTGGATTAACTAATGTTTATTCACGCATGGGCAATCTTGCTCCTAATTGGGAAAGGCCTTATATGGTTATTTCCATTCAGCGACCGAGGTCTTACCAGTTGGCAGATTTACAAGGTCGTCCAATATCATTCATTTGGAACATACATAACCTTAGAAAGTTTTACAGTTAACATGTATGTTGCTAGTGTTCAAGTCATTATGGATCATTTGTAGATGGTGATTTACAGAAAATTCAATACAGAAATTTCTAAAGAAAAGTTTCGAATTTGCATTTGATCAATGAATTCTTACATATGGAGTACATATTTCAAATGACTTCATCGATTTACACAAAAATACAAGAGCAATACACAGCAATCTCAAAAGCAAATGTTGGAGTTGTATTTCATGAATGTTCTTGTACATGTGTTCGATTAACATAAAAAGACAAAAAGAAATACAAAAAGCAAAGCAAAAGGTCCTAAACTAATCATCCGTCAGGTCGACGGGGATGGATGCGTCGTTTGGTGCAGCAACAAATTGAGCTGGAGACGACCGATCTGGGGGAAAGTGAGCAGGAGAGAGAGCAGTTGGAGCATCGGTCGCGGCAGGCTGAGGTGGAGCAAAGGGGGGAGTGCTGGAAGGCTCAGCAGGCACATCATGGGGGTCTGCCACCTCAACGACAGAAGGGGGCCACACAGGCAGCCCCTCCTCATTGAGCTCCCACTTCAATCTCACCCTAGTGTCAGCTGGCTGGGCGAGGCTCTTCCCGTCAGCATCGATCTCCTCGCCCTCGAAGAAGGCCAACTCGCCAATGGGGAAGTCTGCCCGGACTCCCAACACCTTCCCACGAACTTCATTGAAAATGTCCGTGGTAGTGTTGGCTGCAGCCACTACTACGGCGTCCTGGAACATCTCTGCCCCCACCAGCCACTCAGCCCCTTGTGCACGGGCAAAGCAGACGTCGCGCTGGTGGAGTCTTTTGGTCCTCTCCAAGGACGCCTCAGCCCGGGCCACGTGCTGATTCGCTAGTGAGACCCTCTCCCTCAAGCCGCTCAGCTCGTGCAGAGTTCTCTCCCTCTCATCTTTTGCCTTTCTGGCCCGGTCCTCTGCACGGCCGGCCTCCTCCTTCGCAGCTTGAATGCCGCTCTCCTTCTCAGCCCGAGCTCTGTCCAGCTCCTCCCTCAGCTCGGTGACCTTGCGGGCCAGCTTGTCAGCCCGGCTTTCAGCTGACACAGCTCGGTTTGCTATCTCTGAGCTCTGCAAACGACTAACCTCGTCAGTCAAACTGGTTTTTTCAGAGGCCAGTTGTTTGCAGTTCTGCTGGAGCTCGTTATTCTGCGCCCTCGCTCCTTGCTCGCACTCAAAGAGTGCGACAGTGTAGCTGAACGCCTACCCCACATGTTCGCTCGTCAATTTATAGCAAAAACGTGATAAAATACAGTAATGAGCTCGGCAAGTGTACTTACATCCATCAGCTTGATCAGAGTAACATGTCCCCCATGCTGCTGAATATGCTCCTTCGCGCGCAGCCAGTCTGTAGGGGGCACGAAGTTCTGCATACCCTGCAGCATAGCAGCATGGCACTCAGTTCGTACGTAATTGAAGCCATCTGGGTATGCAATCCTAGGCCCCGCTACAGACGACGAGGCTGGTGCTGGCTCGGCGACCTCACAAGCTGAAGTTGGGGGCACGTTGCCCGGTCGTGCAGCAACGGCCTGAGCAGGCTGCGAGCCAGTACTTGTCCTTCGCCGGATGAGAGGGACGTCATCCTCCGCGTCAGACTCTTCCCTTGTGTGCCTTCTAGAGCTGGAAGGCGCAGGCTCCGTCCTCTGCTCGGCACGCGGCCTCTGTGCCGAGCTGGAACTTCGATGCTGGGAGCTGCGCCCCGGTGCAGCAGGTGGGCGCTCGTCAAAGCGGGACTGACGCTGGGAACCAGACCCAGCTCCCCGGCCCCTTGAGCCTTGAGCTCGCTGTCGTTGTCTCTCAAGGATGCTACTCATTTCTCCTGCACAAATAAAGGCATAAGATTCAGGTCGGCTAGAAATCCTGCTATGTTATAGAAATATACCTTCCCCATGAAGGTTTGCCACGTCGATAAACCCAAGAAGTGCGATCTGGTCTAGGGTAACCAAGGCTTCCAGATCCACCAAACCCCTCGCCTTCACGTGATCGAGCAGCCGGTTCTTCAAGTCGATATCACCAACTGTCAGCTGAGGGTAGTTCATGTACGTGTTCGGCGTGCGCCACTCAGACAGACGGGTGGCGAGCTTGTTGTTAATCCGCTCAGTTCGTGTATCCTGCATGAAAACGAACTGTCTCTTCCACCTCGCCACCTTATTCCTAATGTTGGTGAATATCATCATCTTCTTTCTGCCCGAGATGTAATACCATCTCGTTCCACTGGTAGACGGGCATAATCTACACAAGAAGAGCGACCTGAAGACCGCTACCTTTGCAAGCATCCCCAACCTTTCGCACAACAGCATAAAGCCTATGATGAACTTTATGCTGTTGGGAGTAAGTTGCGAAAGGGCCAGCTCGTACTTTGCCAAGACGTCAAAAATTATTCCGGGCAAAGGAAAATGTAGACCGGCGTCAAAATGGTCTACGTATACTGGCACCCAGCCCGTCCGCGACACTGAGCACGCCCGCTCGTTCAATGTCCTAGCTCGGATTAGGATGGTTCTGGGGATCTGGTACCTCCTCACCATCTCCTCTAATTTTTTATACCTCTTCACTGTTGCTGCGCCATCTGCAACTTCGTGATGCAGTGCCGCCCTGAACCTGAACCCGGCCGGTAGTGTTTTGGGAGCTTTGCGGAGATTGTCCAGCCTCCCACTGAGAACCTTGCTCTCCCATCCCTCGAACACTACGACCTCCGTTGCTGCACTCGTCGCCAGTGCACTGCAACCAACCTCCTCAACGCCCTCCGCTTCACTGGCTGTCTCCACCGTGGGCGAATCACTAGAGGTTGAAGGCCGGTGGCCCTCAGAACCACCACCCGCGCTTGAACTGGCACTATTCTCCGGCGCGGCGGTTCTGGGCGAATCCTGCAACTCCGGTGGCACTATCATCGCGATAGGCTCCACGGATATCACATCAACATCCTCCTCTTCACCTTGGTTACCCCAGAACTCTTGTGCATCGTGGAAAGAAGCCATTTTTACCTGATTAGTTGCAGATGAACGTGCTTTCGCTGGAAGTCTTGAAAAATGGCCGAAAGTGTCTTTGCAATATTCTCTGAAAAACGTACAAATGTGCTGTGCAATAAAATGAAAAAATGACAAATTGTTTGTTTTGTTTTGGGCGTTCAGATGGTGCTCTGTAAACACCGTACGCGTGTTTACGGCCCCCCAGTTAAGCGTGCCCACGTGGCAACCATTTATGATTAAAAACCCAAAATACGCCGTCTACAGCTGTCACGTCCCCTCAAATGCTGAGCCAGCATTTATTGCGAGGAGGCAAAGGGGTATCTGTTAAAAGCAGAAGAATACCAAACGCCCTGAGCAAATCTCCTCAGAGATTCGCCACAATTGTTGAAAAATCCAAAGGATCAGATCGCGACAAACCTCAATGATCAGCTCGTAACAAATTCGCGATCTCCTTAGTGATCTAAGCAAATCTCCTACGAGATTCGCCACAGTTCAAATTTTGAAAAGTCTTAGGGATCAGCTCGTAATAAATACACAGTCTCCTCACAGCTCTGCCATAATTCAAAATTTGAAAATCTCGAGAAGTCAGCTCATTACTAGTCAGCTTGTTACTAATCAGGGATCTCTGAAGAGATCCCAAATTCGAAAAATCTCTAGAGATCAGGTCGCGCAAATCATGGATTCACCTCAATTTCGGACATCGAGCGTTAGATTGTAACCAACTTCCTCAGAACTGCTCTATTTCCCAGAGATCTATATCGAGGTGACGAGTGTGGTCGCTACTCTCTGCCTGTCTAGGTTCGGTGCGTTCAGCTCGTTCACTATCTGCTCGCCTCCGCTCTGTTGCAGGGAATTCATCATGCAAGGTCACCCTTGTGCGCCTGCTCGACCCTTTGATTAGCACCGAGCTCGATCGGTTTTAACACCAACTCCTCACGCCTACTCGGAATAAGACCGGCATACATTGGCACATCCGGCCAGGCACGATGTCTTCAAGACGGTCAGGCCGTCCATGCGTGAGGTCGTTCATGAACGCAAAATATCACTCCTCATCTTTAGGGCCAAGCACTGTGCTAACAAGACTCTCCATCCAGTTCGTCAACCGAACGCTGAGGGGGGAGTAATGTTGGAATTAGGCCCAACGCCCACTTCGGGCCACATATAACAGGCCCAACTATGCACACACAAGCCCAAGAGGAGGAGACATGCCCACGTGAACAACACCACGTGGGCCAATGAATTACTTACATGTATTGATGCATGTCAACATTTGGGGCTATAAATACCCCCCAACCACCAACAATGAAGGTAATTAATCTCTACGCTTCTCTCTCTGCAATTACTCCTTGAGAGCCTCTCTCTCTAGAATATCGAGTATTGCTGATTTGAGCGTCAGAGTGTTTTCCCCGAGGAACAACCTCGGGATTTACAAGTGTAGAAGCAGCCGAGGACTTCAACAGTGTTGGACTGCGAAGCTGCCCAAACACAACCTTTTCACAACCAGATGCATTAGACCCAAACACATCTGTTCATTAATTCTTTATAACATATTATTTGTTCCATAAGACTAGATCTCATATGATGTTCCGTACATGGATAGCTGATGTTCTTTGCATCAAACAATTCTTAGGTTCTTTGTTAGGTTCTTGAGCTCATTGCCAAAGGAAAAAAAAAAGAGAAAGAAGATTCTAGAGCTAAAATTAACTGCAAAATGTTCAAATTGAGAACTCAGGAATCTAATTTGATTACATTTAATGTATATATATATATATAGGGAAAATGATTAATACACCATTCAACACACCTACTAACACACGTATTAGTTTAGTCATTAAATTCTGTAGTTAAAAAATTTTTCCTGCCTTGAATTTAAGTTTAAAAATAATAATTTTTTAATAAGTGAGTTGAATCGAAAGGTATACTAATCATTGTTCATATATATATATAATATTTCTTTTTTGATAGTTTTCAATTTATCCCATGAATTGTTTTATTTATCAGGTTTGCTATTACAGGCTGGATAACTATTGATGGAAACCTACTTAACTAGGATGAAGTATAGTTGAAGCTTGTTTAAAATGTAGAAACTAACTATTTATGTAACTTGGTTTTATTTTGGATATGTGATTCTAGTGTCATTTTGGTTCATGCTTCAGGCAACTCTTAGCAAGCCTCGTAATAATCATCTTGAAGTGCTGCTATCTGTCATATATGGCTTCAAAGGAAGAGAAGGCTTTGCTATACTTTTGTGGTTTGCTTTGCTGGAACACATGCTGAGAGAAGATATTATTTTGCTGTAAGACGTAAAATACTGAGTTCTAGTATGTGTTGAAGGCTTAAGCTTTTGTATATTTCATTAAGCAAATACAGAGCAATATATATACAGTTCAGCAAGTTGTCTAACCTAGGAAATAAGGAAACTACAATTAAATATAATATACATATAACATATTATGGAGATTTGGTTTCCGTCTGCGAGGTGGAGTAATTGATCTGATGAGATTTGGTTTCCTTCTGTGAGGTGGAGTGATTGATCTGATATCGCCCCCGCAAGACGGAAAAGCTATCAGCGATGCCAAGCTTGGAGCGTAGCAAGCAAAACCGAGCAGAAGAAAGGGGCTTAGTAAGACCATCTGCAAGCTGATCATGGGTAGAAATGTGAGAAACATGCAGAAAGCCGCGATCCATAAGGTCCCGAACAAAGTGAAGATCTATGGCAATGTGCTTCATGCGAGAATGAAGAACAGGATTCACACTTAAGTAGGTGGCACTAACATTGTCACAGAAGATGGCAGGGGAGCGAGGAACAGAGACACCCAATTCAGAGAGGAGATTGCGAACCCAAATCAACTCAGAAGCAGTGGCAGCTAGAGCACGATATTTCGCTTCAGTGGAACTGCGAGCAACCGCCTGTTGTTTAGCAGCCCGCCACGAGATTGGATTAGAACCCAAAAAAACAACATAGCTAGTGGTGGAAATAGAGGAGTCCCGATCACCAGCCCAGTCGGAATCAGAATAGGCATGGAGCGACAGAGATGGCTGTGGCCGAAGAAGCAACCCATGATATACAGTACCCCGGAGATACCGAAGAACACGTTTCAAGGCTTGCCAATGAAGATCAGTAGGCTGATGCATATATTGAGACAATCGGCTTACAGCGAAGGAGATATCCGGACGAGTAAGAGTAAGATACTGAAGAGAACCCAAGATACAGCGATACTCAGAGCTATTTGAAAGAGCTGAACCTGCCGAAGAGCTCAAATTTGCACTGAAAGGAAGTGGCGTGGAGACGAGCTTTGCAGCATCCATGTTAGCTCGACACAGAATATCAAGAATATACTTGTGTTGAGAGAGCAATAGCCCAGCAGGTGTTTGAATAGCCTCAATGCCCAAAAAGAAGGTGAAAGGGCCGAGATCTTTGAGAGAAAAGCATTGCCCCATTTTGTGCACCAGAGAACGAAGTAGACTGGAGTCATTCCCTGTGAGAAGAATATCATCAGCATACACAAGGAAGTAAAGCCGAGTAGAGTCCTTATGATAGACAAACAGAGAGCTGTCAGATTTAGAATTGTAAAATCCTTGGGACAAGATAAAAGCTTTTAATTCCCGGAACCAAGCTCGTGGAGCTTGCTTTAATCCATAAAGAGATTTTGTAAGCCTGCAAACAAAATGAGGTTTGTCAGAGTCAACAAAACCCGGAGGCTGTTGCATATATAGAGTTTCCTCTAATTTGCCATGAAGAAAGGCATTATTAACATCCAAGTGTTGAATGGGCCAGCCATGACTGACAGCAAGAGATAGAACAGTCCGAATAGTTGTTGGTTTAATGACTGGACTGAAAGTGTTAAAATAATCAAAACCAGGTCGTTGATGAAAACCTTTGGCCACAAGACGCGCCTTATAGCTCTCAATGCTACCATCCTTGCCTCGTTTAACACGAAAAACCCATTTACAACCAATAAGATGCTGGTCAGGAGTTGGGGGCACCAGTTCCCAAGTACCTTGCCGAACCAATGCAGTAAACTCTTCCGACATGGCTTGTCTCCAAACAGGTTCTTTCAAGGCTTGGGATACACAGGTGGGCTCCAAGTAGGTGGTAGCAGGAGTAGGAGTGGTGTGGAAGAGCTGCTTGGGTTTGAAAATGTTGTTTTGGGCCCGGGTAACCATAGGATGTGTTCGAAGAGGTTGGGGTGGGGCCAAGGGAGGGTTGGGAGAACCGGATGAGGTGGATGAGTGGGATGAGTTGGAGAGGGTTGAGGAAGAGGAGAGAGACAAGGAAGGTGCACTAGGGAGTGTGGGAGGGGGAAGGGCACGGGGACTAGGTGATGATAGTGGTGAAGATGAGGGAATGGGACGTACCTGGGATGCACGAGCAGGTTCTGACGATGGCACGGGCTCATGAAGGACACCATGGGACGCGACTTGCTCGGAATAATGTGGCGAGTTTGGCATGTGATTAAGAGTTTGGGGGAGAGATGGGGACATGCTAGAAAATGGATGAAGGTCATTAAAATCAGTAGAATTAGAAGAATTTTTAAAGGGAAAAATAGTTTCATGAAATAAAACATGGCGAGAGTGAAACAGTTTGCCGGATTGTAAATCAAGGCATTTATATCCTAAATTTTCAATGGAGTAGCCTAGAAATAAACAAGGGCGAGATCTAGGTTGTAATTTATTGTGATTGTAGGGACGCAGCCATGGAAAACAAAGACAACCAAAAACTCTTAATTTGAGATAATTAGGCTTATGACTAAACAGTTTTTCAAAAGGGGAAACAGATTGAAGAACAGCAGTAGGCAACCTATTAATGAGGTAGACTGCCGTTTGGAAAGCATAAGACCAATATTTAGGAGGGAGGGACGATGTGTAAAGTAGAGATAACCCGGTTTCAACGATGTGGCGATTACGCCTCTCGCTTATACCATTTAATTCGGGTGTATATGGAGGATTTGTGAAAGTAGATATACCATGTTGAGATGGAAAAGGTCGCAGGGCCATAAATTCGCCCCCGCCATCGGAATGAAAATTTTTAATTTTGAGTTCAAATTGGGTTTCCACAAGTTGTTTAAATCGAGGAAAAATTAAGGCAACATCAGATTTGCGTTTAATTGGAAAAATCCATGTATATCTACTGTAAAGATCAATAAATAAAAGAAAGTAGGAGTAACCATCAATGGAGATGACAGGGGCAGGGCCCCAAACATCAGAGTAAATATGTTCTAGTGGAAATTGAGAGGTAATGGAAGAAGTTGAAAAAGGTTATTTGTGACTTTTAGAGCAAGCACATGAATCACATGGAGAAAGAGTATTTTTATTAAAAATAGGTAATTGATAAACATTAATAATAGATTTTAGGATTTTTGTGGATGGATGACCCAAGCGACAATGCCAATTCACCAAGGAAACTCTTTCTCCTACTAAGGCAGTAGGCCTAATGCTGATTTTTCCGAGAAGTTGATATGTCCCATGAACATTTGGACCTCGTGCCATCGTCGCCCCCGTTGCTCGATCCTTCAATAAAAAATAAGAAGGGTGAAATTCAACATAGGCATTAGCGCTTTCACATAATTGAGAAACAGATAATAGGTTGCGGGATGCATTGGGAACACATAAGATATTATGCAAGGGAATAGAGGTAGAGGGAGTAGAAAGTGTGGAGTGCCCCACATGTGTAATTTACAAACCTGTTCCATCACCTATTTGGAGTTCGTCTGGTCCATGATATTCAGAGTGTAATGCAAGGTTGGCCAGGTCAGTAGTGACATGGTGAGATGCTCCAGAATCCAAAAGCCAAGTATCAGGGGACCCAACAGAGGATGTAGCCATGCTAGCAAGAGGGCCTTGTTGTGTCTGAAAGAGAGAGCAAGTGCGAGCAGAGTGACCAGGAGTACCACAAAGCTGGCAGATGATGGGTGCAGGCCTGTTGGGGAACTGAGGGAAAGGACCACGCCTTCTATTGATAGGGGGCCGGCTTGAGATTGGGCCATTGCGAGGGCTCCTGCTGCTTGGAGCAAGTCGACCACCAGGTGGCGTGGGAAGAAGACCAGCAGATGAAGAGGAGGAACCTGCAACAGTTTGTGAGTTAGGAAAAGCAGCAAACATGGCACTCACCGGAGCGGAGTCAAGTTTGGGTTCATCTCGTTTTAGGCTCTCTTCATGGGCCACCAGCCGATCATGGAGATCATCAAAAGACAAAGAGGAGTCACGAGTACGAAGGGAGGCTGCAATTTCACGAAACTCAGGACCCAATCCATTTAGGATGTAGACGGTGAGATCATCATCTGTGAGGGGGCGATCAACAGTTCCTAGTTCATCAGCAATAGCTTTGATGGAGCGGAGATAGTCGAAGACAGGACGGCCATCTCGGCGCAAATTTTGCAGCCGTTCCTTGAGGGTGATGACTCGAGTGCGGGAACGGTTGGCATAGAGTTTCTCAAGGGTTTCCCATGCATGTTGAGCCGTAGGAGCAGCAGCAATATAGGGTGTGATGCTCTCAGAGACAGAGGTAATGAGAGCATGACGCAGGAGCTGGTCCTGTCGAGCCCAAGGACGGTAAAGTGGGTCAGTGGCCACTGGGCAAGGATGTGTGCCATCAATGAATTCAAGAAGTTCATATCCAGCAAGTAAACTGGTGAATTGAGATCGCCAGGATGGGTAGTTGTTCGGGGTGAGCTTGAGAGGGAAAGCGCCAGCATTGAAAGAGATAAGGCCTCGATTGGTTGGAGTGAGGAAAGTGGCAGCGGAATTGGGGGTTGTTTCACCAACTGCAGGGGTGGTGCTGTTGGAGGAGGCCATGGGTATTGGAAAATTCTCGTTTGAGAAAGGGAGGCTCTGATACCACTGTTGAAGGCTTAAGCTTTTGTATATTTCATTAAGCAAATACAGAGCAATATATATACAGTTCAGCAAGTTGTCTAACCTAGGAAATAAGGAAAC